GCACTCGGCAAAGGCTTTGCCGAGTGCCGCACTCGGCAAAGGTCTCTCGGCAAAGATTTTATCGGCAAAAATTTCTTTGCCGAGTGCCAAAAATCGACACTCGGCAAAGTCTTTGCCGAGTGCCAAGCCCGCACTCGGCAAAAAAAAATAACTCGCGCCGTCAACATTTGACTTGGCTTTGTCGAGTGCCTAGGGACCGCACTCGGCAAAATTTGAATTTTGCCGAGAGCCGTGGCTCAAGAGACTCGGCAAAGAAACCATTTTTTAAAAAAAATCTTTTTAAAAATAGTCTTTGCCGAGTGGTACCACCTGGCACTCGGCAAAATTGACCTCTTTGCCGAGTGCCAGGCTGTGGCACTCGGCAAAACTGGGCAAGTGGCTGTTTTTGCAGCATTTTTTTCCAGCTTTGCCGAGTGCCACACCCTTGGCAATCGGCAAAGACTTCTTTGCCCAGTGTTGACACTCGGCAAAGCTGGGAAATTTGCTATTTTTTTTGTTTGTTGCTTTCCTTCGAAAGCAAACACGCAAAACTCATATATAATACATGAGACGGCACACAGGCATTTAGCATCACACAAAACGCATACATAATCCATCACATACATCCATAATACATCACAAGCACATCCAACATCCATCACAAGCACATCCTCCTGCATAATCCATCACACGCACATCCAATGTGCAAATCCATGACAACATCTAAGAAGTCTTCATCCAACACAAGTCCTAGATCAAGAAAAGTCAATGAAACATGAAAGGGCACCACCATCGCCACCGATCCCAATGGGAGCTGAAGGGCACCTCCAGTGCGATGGTGGACCTGCCCACCGGGTGTGTGTGTCTTTGAGGTGAAGGAGTCGGGTTCGAACCCGGACGATTCTTTCGCACAAAGGAGAATTGAATTCATTAGTATCTACACAAGCTAAAGGACTTGATCAACCATATATATATACTCACCGGAGTGCCTAGAGCCGGAGGAGTAGGAGGCACTGGCCGGAGGAGAAAGCGATCGGGGGGCACCACCACACCGGGAGAGTGGTGCCGAGGCTCGACATGAATGAGAACATGTCCTCGCATCCTCTGCGCCTCGGCCGCCCTCCGGGCCCTCGGGACCTCCCACTCGGCCCTCTCGGCCTCCCTCTGGGCCCCTCCTCTCCCTCTCGACCCTCTCGGCCTCCCTCTCGGCCTCCATCCTCCTCCACGGTGGCTGCAATATTCAATCACCAACGTTTAAACAATGCAAATGCAAGGTACATGTGTAAAAGTAATGAACAATGAATGAAATAGAACTAACCCGGAGTGCCGCCATCTGGCTGTAGTGTGCTCGCCTGTCGAGGTCGAATGGGGACGGAGGAGCTCGTGCTCTGTGCTCGGATCTGGGCGAGGTTGGGCACAGAGGTCGAGTCGACCATGTTGGAGGCCATCCAGTACCGGCCGTGCTGCTTCCCTCCTCCGAGCCTCATCATGAGGTTGGTATCAAGGGGCTGGGTGGCGGGGTCGAAGTCCTCCCCATGCCGCTCGCGGGCCACCGAGGCATAGTCGGTGAGCTTGCTGTGGACGCTCGTGTTGCTGTACGCCTCGGGCCCATCCTCCGGGTTGTAGATGGTGTCCGGGGCTGTCGCCTTGCCCTTGTGTGCCATGGCGTACTCCATGAACTCATTGCATTCTTGGCCATCATGCGACTGGGACTGCGAGGAAAACACAAAGACGATTAGAAGTAATGAGAATTGAGCGTTAGAACAAATAAATAAATAAGTGCGTAGCGTGTACCCAGGCCTGGGCGTACGAACTGAGGGGCCGGTTGCCTTGGTGGTGCGCCGGCCCACCCATCTGCAGGCGGCACTCCCGACGGAGGGCGTGCCTCTCCCTCCACTCATCGGAGACCCACTTGTCCACGATGGCCGCCCAACAGTCTCTGTGGGTGGCGCACCAAGAAGGACACATCTGCATGCCATCAAGTATTAGAAATGTTAGAATATAAAATGAAGGCTACCTATTCTTCATGGAATGAGTCAGTAACAATGTTTTATAACTTACTGCGAGGTACTGCTCCCTGGTGAGTGTCATGGTCCTGGCCTCGCTCTTCCCCGGGTACCGACCAAGGACGTCGCACGAGTGGTTGATGTGGCACTGCAGCCTCGCCTCGTAGTACAGGTCCATGACTCGGCCCCTGCATGCCCTGTCCTGCACCTTCGTCACCCAGGCGGGGTCATGCCCCTCCTCCAACGTGAAGAAGTCCTGCATACAGACATCATGTGTCCTTTCATTATTTCAAGAACGTCTAATGAATTCATAGTATTGAGCAATGTAGTGTGATGTAGACTCACCCAGAACTCACGCCTGATCCGCTCCTGTACGGTGCCGTACACGGCGTCCACGGCGGAGTTGAAGTGGTCCCACGTCCAGGGAGGCGACTCAACCTGGGCGTGGGTGACCAAACCAGGGTAGTGCAGGCAGATCAGGCCGCCGAGGATCCCATTGCACTGCCGATGATCGCCCCCGGACACAAGTTCCCAGTTCCTACAGGAGTCAGTAAGAAGAATTGTTAGTCCGCAGTTCGGTTTTCAGCATATGAACAAGAAGAGATGCAAAATGAACGGATACTTACTTGTCGCCCTTGGGATGAATCACCGGCCTCCTCTGAAACAGGATCGGCCATGCCGGGAGCTGCGAGGACCCACGCAAGTACGGTACCGATGAGGTGCTCGAAGTGGAACCCCCCGCCACCCCCCCAGAGGAAGTGTCACCCCCCGCCACCCCCAGAGGAAGTGTCACCCCCTCCTGTCTGGGGGGCCAGCTGCTGGTCCTCGTCGTCATTGGTCGTCGTCCGGTCCTCCTCGGGCGGGGGGACGACAGACGACTGCACCGCCCTCCTCGGACGACCGCGGGGGCGGCGGGCCGGACGGCTCCTCGCCTCCGCCTCTGCCTCCGCCTCCTGAGTCGTCCTCGCGTAGAGCGAGTTGTAGGTCCAGGGCCGCCTTCCGCTCGGCATTTTGTCGAGTGCCTGCAAATACAAAGAGTAAACCAGTTAGCACAATATAGACAAATATAGAGATGCAAAATGAACGAAACATAACTAGAAAATAATAATAATATAGTATTACATGAATTAGAAATAATCTTCAGGATCGGCAGCGGCCGGATCATAAGTGTCGTCATCACTATCAATATTGTCTAACATTTCCGCCTCATCTCCATCGTTGTCATCAATGGCAACGCCAAACCGTAATCGCTCAAGCAGTGCTAAGTCTTTGGCATTTTGCACCTCTTCTCCATCGTCCTCATCTCCATCGTCCTCATCAATGTCATTGTCTACTTCCATGCCCATCAGCGAAAACATGTCTATGTGAAACATGCCATCTAGCCCCTCGGGTTGATAGAACTCTCCTGTATATGTGTTTGGGTCAAAGTTGTAATCCTCATCGTTTGGGACAGGCACTTTGCCATGCGGTGATACCAACTGCGCAAGGTACCAACCCTCAAGAGTGGGATCTTTTTGGCACGCCCATGGAAGATAATAAACTTGCGTGGCCTGTTGAGCCACAATATAGACATCGTCTCCTTGATAGAGGGAATCTTGTCGAATTTCAACTTGTCCAATCTCAGGGGCTCTTCTCGTGACATTGGGATCGAACCAATGGCATTTGAATACGACTGGCTTATGACCTCCGCGAAGCTCAAAGTTGAGCTCGTATATTTCTTCGACTATGCCGTAGTAGTCGCGGTCATCGGTGCCGGGCGTACGAACTCCAGTATTCGTGGTTTTTCGATTGGGCCGACTGAGCTCGTGGCTTCTTGTGTGGAAGCGATAGCCATTCACATCATATACGGTGAATGACTTGACCCTATAGGGGAAGCCTTTGACAACCTGTTTCAACTCTTCATCCATTTCCGCATCCGTGCGTGCCTGTAAGGTGAGGGCGGATAGATCATTACTCGCTCGTAGGAGCAAAGTGGGATGTCACAGATGGAACGATGTAAATTGGATGGTACCTTCTTTTCGAACCATGAAATGAAATCGGGCACACCATCTTTGAGAAGACTATCTTGTTCTTGAGGGGAAGGATCCCTATTTCCTGTCCAGTATGTATTCAGAAATTCCCTGAAAAAGCAAGAGACAAGGGGGTTGGATAGATAGACGATAGTGACGGCGTATGTAACAAGCTCATTGAGAACTTACTGCACATAAGGGTTCACTTCGTCAAGG